AAAACAAGCACGGTTTTTTCGTATCAAGAGCTGATATAGAGCTTTTTGTTGGCATTCTACTTCTGACGGGATATCACAAGCTTCCAAGCGAAAGAAACTATTGGAGTTTGGATGATGATCTGATGATTAATTATCTATTATTAACTAATTATAGATTTTGTAGACTACTACATTACCATTACTAAAATAAACAATTGTTGAATGGTCTGAATTGTTGATGAACATGAATGCTTAAAAAAAGTGATAAAAAGAGAAAAATATTAAGAAACAGACTCGGAGACATGACATGACAGAACAAAACAAATGCCCAATTAAATAAATGTGCAAACCCGAAATACTACAGTAGATACTGAAATTGTCCACCATTTTCTTCTATGCAACTTCATTTTTCTCGAAAATGGTACATACTACCGAATTTCCACAAGTATACCTTTTTTTGTAGTATGCTTTAGAATTTACAGAACCATTTAGAAATGTAATAAATTTTGACTTTTAACACATTTTTTTTCGATTGAACCCCTCCAATTACCTATATCGACGGCACTGCTTTTCAGAAAGAAACCGTTTGTACATTATTCTTAACGCACAGTTGATGTTTACTCGTGTACAAATTTTGACATTTTTATCTTTAGCCGATTTAAAGATAATTAAGGAAAACCATTTGGAAAGTAACAACTTCAACACACTATCTCGAAAACAGGGCGTCTAAGAAAAAACTTTACATGAACTACCCTATTATTTTTCCATGAGGAACTTGCACACAAGTTTTTTTTAAACATGAACGGGACACCCTATACAGGGTGATTCATTAACAATGGGAAAGTCGAAAGCTGAAAATACTACACGTGAAGTGGTGACCATTGGCGCAAACATGCCTTATCCGAAAGTTGATAGTTTCGGAAATACAGGGTGTTAAAAGTTAAAATGTTAAATAGTTTTTTTGCGATTATTCTGAAAATATGTAGGTTAGGAACTTGAAAATTTGTGAAACTATATTTTTTTAGGCGACGAATAAGATGCGTGTTGTAATCTCAGCATTGCTCATAGAGGGCGCCACTTACGACTAATTTTACCGAAAATTTAGTTAATAACTTTTTACCCTGTATATTTAACATGAAATTTGATTCAAAACTTTTATGAGCTATCATTTTTCCATTAATTATGTACTCTTGTTTCATTTCGGTATCTCGATCCGTTTTCGAGAAATATCGATTTAACGAACACTATGTTTTGATAATATGAGAAATTAAAAACGAAACAAACCCCAAGTGTTTCTTCGTGTTATTACAACAATTAACAATAAAACAAATAAAATACGTAATTATGATTTAAAGTAATTGTTCGAAGAATCCACCGTTGACACTGATACACTTTACACGTTTTCTGGGAGATCTTCCAGTTTAAAAAAACATATTGGGATTGCGTCTGACTTCGTTGGCAGCGATTTATATTATTTGCCATAACTCTTCACACGAGCCAGTAGATTATTTGTAAACTATATCTTTCATTCGAGATCAAATAGAAAAATCAAGAGGATTGAAGTCTGGACTTCTGGATGGCCAAGCAAAAATGCTTACATGGCCAAACCAGCGATTTGGAAAAACTGCATCTAAATATGCACGCACTGGCCAANACTGTAGATAAATTTAGAGATTAGGTATATGAATTACAAAAACTTTTTAATAATCTAGTAAAAATATCGACATACTTTATAATAATTATAATCGTATATTTGAAACAATGTGTTACTAGAATGTTTTCTCTTTTCCTAAAATCACGAATAGTTTTTTATGTGTATTGAATTAGAAAATCGACCACTATTCGAGTTGTGTGTACACAAATCATCGGTCAGCTTCGATTCATTTGTTGTTATTAAAAATCATCCATTTGTTTCGCTGTCAGGGAAATGAAATGTTCATTAATTTAATTAAAATGACATTTACTTACTGCTCCCGTAAAAAGTAAGTGAAAATAAAGACATAAATATTCTACAAAACACAAGAAATTAAGAATGTACTAATTGAATGGCTTTAATTCGTCCTATAGAATAGAAATCGTCACATTAAGAGACTCGCATAAAGTAAATTGTACCTTACAAATCTATACGCTTCTTTGTTCAACATGGCGCGAGTCTATAAAATGACGGAGAAAACCATACATTGACATATGTAATAACAAGTTTCTTTTAAGCGCTACTTATTACCTACATAAATTTCTAGATCTTGTGAAAAAAGAAGTCGAGATATTTTAATGAGATTTTGTAAGGATAAATTTCAAAAAGGCAATATGGGATTTCTGCGTTTACAAAGCTGCTGAAAACGTATCAAAATGTTGAAATAATGTAATATTGAACCGGTTTTACTTATGACAAAGTTCTTTTAATTGCGAGAATAGTAGGTATGCTTTATAAAAATGTATCAGTTTTAACCGTCTTCGTAAAATCTACAGGGTGTGCCGCTTAACATTCCCGCAATTATTATTAACTAATAATAAAATATACAGGGTGCTTATTAAGTACTTATACAAACTTTAAAGGGTGAATCTTTGACTAATTTTAAGATAAAAAGTTCAGATGAACATAGGTCCGCAGTGGCTTCGTTCCTGAGATACAGACTGTTCAAGAAAAATTATTGTTTGGTATTTTGATTATATTTTTGTTCAATAACACGGCAATTTGAAGAAATTCGGGAAACTGGGAGTATTGACGATGAGAAACTCAAATATTTACTTAGTATATTGTACAGTGCTATTTTTTTAAAACCTGACATAGGCCAACTTTTTTATTTGAAGAGATAGACTAGTACTTCCAAATGTAAAGTTGTAGGAAAATTTTTGCCGGTGTTGCAGGATATCTGCAGTAGCTACTAAAACGATATTCTTTTAAATGGCAACACCGTATTTTTTTAACATATTTTGGCAAACCTTCAAGTTCTAAATAAAAAATGTTATGTCACATTTCTTTATTGGAGTTGCCGTTTTCGAACAATCAGCAAAAATAACGAAAATAATCTGCAGTCGGCAGGAACTAAAAGAAGCTAACACAGCAATAGTAGGCCTTGGATATTAAACAAAAATTGTGTTTGAAAGAAGCTATCATTATTGTATTGTAAAAATTGTGTTATTTGAAAACGGTTGAAATAACGTTTCAGTTGCGAAGATGATTTTCAGCCTTTTGCAGATCCTACCAGTTGTTTTCAGTTTTACTTAGTTCTTAAAAACTTCGGATTTGGAAAAGGCTTATCGGGATGTCTTGCGTGGAATTCAGCACACGCATTGCGTACCTATACTTAAGTCACCAGCACGAAAAAAAAATAATTCAACTTTCTCTTTTGGATTAAATAATTTATTCACTTAGCAACTGAATTAATTCGTTATTTTTATACAGATTCAAATACAACAGCTTTCAAATAACACAATGACAATACAATAATGATAGCTCCTTTCAAACAACACAATTTTTGTTCAACATCCAAGGCTTGCTATTGCTGTGTTCGCTTCATTTAGTTCCTGCCGACTGCAGATTATTTTCGTTGTTTTTGCTGACTGTTCGAAAACGGCTACTCCAATAAAGAAATGTGACATAACATTTTCTATTTAGAATTTGAAGGTTTGTCAAATTATGTTAAAAAAAATACGGTGTTGCCATTTAAAACAATATCGTTTTAGTAGCTACTGCAGAAATCTGGCAACTCCGGAAGAGAATTATTTGTAAATTTTTGTAATTAAAATTCTACTTGAATACAACACGGTGAAGAGAAAGGTTGAAATAATTGTTATAAAACTAAAAAAAATTGTTAGTATTAAATAGGTATTATGAATTGTTATCAGAGTCGGATTACTAGAACAGAATAAATTTCAAAGATTTAAGTATAAAAAATATTATCATTTTGGTCAAATAGAGTACATACCAAAGGTGTTATTGGAAAAACATAATTAAAATTAATTAGAAATCGCAAGTGACATATATCAAACGAAAGCTAAAATGTCATAGTTTTATTAAATAGTAGTAATAAGAGTTAGAAAAATAAGTAGCAAGAAATATTAAGGTCTAAAGTAAAATTTATATATGAAAATGTCAGGTAAATGTCAAAAATAAAGTTGGATCCACAAGTCACAAAATTTTACATATAAAAGTCAAATAAAAATATAAAAGTAAGGAATATTTTGAAACATAATTTAAAATTATTGTAAAGAAACTAGAATAGAATTGTAAATTTGTAAAGTATAAAGTGAAGTGAAATCCAGTACACGCGGGAAGCCAGTAAACCATTGATATATCAACAAGACATACAGGAAGGTACCTCTTTTGTGCACAAAGTAGTCCAAAATCGAATACGAAACCGCTAGCTAGCAAAAATAGATTGAAAAATACAATCAAAAAGGTCATATCACAAAATTTTCATATAATTAAATTTTCATATCAAATAAATTTGATTTTACCATTTGAATAATTATCAAAATTAGGCCATTTTAAAATTTAATAGATATTAATATTAACAATAAGCTCAGTAACACATTGAATAAGAAATTATAAGATTAAAATTTAAATTTTACACAGTAGGCAACCAACAATACAAAAATAAATCAAATTTGAATACACCTAGATAAAATCTTGTACAAAGTGTTACAAAAGTATTGTAGGAGAATTCTAAATATTCCTTAATTGTATTTGACATTGCACAGTGGATATTTATTGATATATAAAAAAATATAATAAATAAATTAATTTCTAAATAACATCATTTGTTTAGTGTGGTTTCCTGCTGAGTTTGTACCTTCATTTGAACTCACTACTGAGAAGGGTCGAAAGCTAGCCAGGGAAAAATAGACAACCAACATTACAACATAAATAATTAAACAAACATATTACATACAAATTAGACATCAAGACTCATAAAAAAATTTGACGCATACACAAAGACATATTCATACCCGTAATAATATTGTCGTCCGAACGTGGGGCGAGAATAAAACGTGAAGGCAAGAATAAAACTAGAGAAATGGATCTTAGAAGCGGAAAACAAACTGGAGAAGAATCAAGTGAGTCTCTATCAGAACAAGAAATGACAATGGAACAAGGACCAATTACAGGAAGAGGAAGAAAATCGACAAGACAGAATATGTTAGAAGATATGATGAAAACCATACAAGAAGATAGAACGAAACAAGAGGAAGATAGAAAAAGACAAGAGGAAGATAGAAGAAGACTGAAGGAAACAATAAAACAAGGTAGAAAAGAAGATTTACAAAAATTAGAAGAAGGTAGAAAAGAAGATTTACAAAAATTAGAAGAAGGTAGAAAAGAAGATTTACAAAAATTAGAAGAAGGAAGAAAATAAGAATTGAAGAAATTCGAAGAAGGAAAAGAAGAAGATTTAAAAAGATTTGAACAGGGAAGAAAAGAATATATGGAAATAATGGTAAAAGTAATTGAACAAAAAGTACAATCCATCAAGGAAGAAATTCGACAGGAAACGCAAACATGGAACCAAGATTTAAAAGGAGATATTGAAAAGACAGAACAGGAGATAGCAATGGTAGCGAATAAAACTATGGAAATAGAAGAAACAATGAAGAAACCGGAAGATGAACTGAGAACTATTGGAAGAAACGTTTCGAATAATACTCACAACATTGAACAGGTGAAACGACAGGTAGAAGATAGAGTGAGTGGGAATAGACACGAGATGGAATTGTAAAGAAGAAGAACAAAAGAACAAATAGAAGAACTCCAGAAAGAAGTTGAAAGCGTAAGAGAATTGAAAGGACGAGAAGGTGAAATGGTTACCAGATGGATTTGTCAAGGAGACAGAAAAATGTATAAATTTACAGGGAACATAAACACGTTACACCCAATGGTATTCATAAAATCTATTAACCAGAGAATTAAAAAAATAGAAGAAGGAAGATTAGATGAAGATACTAAACTGGAGAGAACAAAGGAAACTATAAAGGAAAACTTGGAAGCAGAAGCACTGATATGGTTTAATGGAATAGAAAATGATGTTCATGATTTCGAACAATTAAGAAATCGATTCTTACAGCATTTTTGGGGTGACAATGCACAATTAATGGTAAGAGAAAGGTTATATTTTGGAAAATTTAATCCACACATATCCAACAGTCTCACTAATTATGCACTTAGATTATACTCATTAGCTCAGTACTTAACACCCAAAATAAGTGAACAAGATTTGGTATTGTATATTTCCAGACAGTTCAAACAAGAGGTAGCGGAAACCATTGCAATGCATGACGTAAAAACAATGGAGCATATGTACAACTATTTGACTAGAGTAGAAAGAAATATGCCTAGTAATTATCAAAATTCCAGTAACACGTATCGTAATAATTTGCAAAATTCAAGTAACCACCAGGGAAATAGTTTCAGAGATTTTACAAGACAAAATGATAGATATCAAAACAATTTTAATAATAATAGAAACTACAATAATTTTCGGCAAAATAATCACTACAATCAAAACAATGGCAATTTTAACAATAATTTTCGGTATAATAATAATAATAATTTTAACAATCTATATAACAATACTAACAATTTTGGTAATAATTACAATAACCAACGTACTCAAAATGCTCATACTAACACTAACAGAAATTTTAACAATTATAATAATAATTTCAATCATGGTTTCCGACAAAATGAATACAACAATACACGGCGCAATCAATATCAACCATCGAGAGGGGAAGAAGATGTACAGCCTCGAAGGCAAGTGAATTTTCAGAGACGACGAAGTCCTAGTAGATCAGAAGAACGAGCTGAAATGCCCATAAATGAGGATGGTAGGTTTGAAACACAGAGATCCAGATCTTTAGACAGGGAATCGGTAAGACAAAGTACAAACGATCCTCAAAATTTTTAGTAAAATGCAAGCCAGACAAATTAAGTAAATTATATAGTTGTAATTATATGCATCCCCGAGAATTTATAACATTAGATGAAAACGTAATAATAAATCAAAATAACAATTTAATTTATCGTAATAATAAATCAAAATAACAATTTAATTTATGTAAATTCCAAATTTCAAAATATACTATTTGATACAGGTTCTGAAGCGTCATTAATAAGTCAAAACATAGTAGAAAAATTTCAAAATTTGAATCAACACATAATTAAAGTAAATAAATTAACATTAGTAGGTCCAAATAACAAAAAACTGTATGATGTTAACAAATTGCTAAATATTAATTTAGAATTAAATAATCAGAAAATAGTATTTCAACTTTTAATAGTACCTAACCTGACCATGGACATTGTCTTAGGATCAGACTATTTAAACAAATACAAAGCCAAATTAGATTATGAAAATAGAAAGTTGTGCATAAATGATATATGGGTAGATTTCAAAGAAATAAGTGTAGTTATAAATATGAATGATAGTGAACAAGGAATGATTGTAAAGGAAGAATATAGAGAAATTATAGAAGTTAATTTTTGTAGTGAGAATGATTATTATTATAATGAAGAATATGAAGAATTATTTAATATAAATAATATTAAAAATAAATGTTATTGATAATTATGTTAAAGAGGTAAGAGATTTGTTAAAGAAGTAGGAAGGAGTGGTTTCCAATGAAGTGAGAGTAGCTACAAGTTATGTTTATAAAATAGAAGTTAAAGACATTAAAAATTTTAAAGCAAAGTCATAGTCAATACCATATATCCACAAGGAAAAGGTAAAAGAAATCGGTAAATTATTGAAAGATGAAATAATAGAAATTGATTTGACAAATTTTCTTATAACAATAAAATTTGCAAATAAATTTGGGAAATTGAGATGAAATCATAGTATTGAGAGCAATTTAAAAGTTAAATTAAAATTCTACTTGAATACGACACGGTGAAGAGAAAGGTTGAAATAATTGTTATAAAACTAAGAAAATATTCGATTAAAATAATTTTTAGTATTAAATAGGTATTATGAATTGTTATCAGAGAGTCGGATTACTAGAACATAATAAATTTCAAAGGTTTAAGTATAAAAAATATTATCACTTTGGTCAAATAAAGTACATGCCAAAGGTGTTATTGGAAAAACATAATTCAAGTTAATTAGAAATCGCAAGTGACATATCAAACGAAAGCTAAAATGTCATAGTTTTATTAAATAGTAGTAATAAGAGTTAGAAAAATAAGTAGCAAGAAATATTAAGGTCTAAAGTAAAATTTATATATNAAAATTTAATTTGGCGCTAACATATAAAACCATACATACATACAATCATAACAATATATATATATATATACTGAAAAACTAAGAAGAGAAAATAAAGCACTCGGTTCAGTATCTACCGCTTCGCGATAAACGAATCAATAGATTGTACACAATACAATCCCTGTAAATGCATCTACTAGCAAGTTGTTCAGCGACTATAGAATGTGAAACTTCGTATGTTTCGAAAATAATCGCGCCCGATGTTTTTATTAAAAAGAAAAACAAAAATAATGGCCAAAGAAAAATAACCAGAGCCGTGTTATTCTTATTTTATGGAAACTGTGTACCGGTGTCCCACATGCCAGGTTTTTATGAATCTTCTTCCAGTCATAATAAATGTGAACTAGTTTTTGTTTTAAAATAACCTAATTTATGCGATTCCGTAGAATCTGGTGACTGTTTTTATTTAATGCTCGTTTTATATATACGCTCGACTAGAGCTTATGACATAAAATTATAGAATGTAACAATGTCGTTCATTGTACAGATGAAAAGAGGAGAAATTATTTTTGGCGCCGAATTTATATCAAAGGTATAAATAAATTATGAGGAAAACAGGGATACTTATTAAACCAGACGCGTATTTTTAGAGAACATATTTTTATTAATAATTGCAACATCTAAAAATAGTGATCGTAGTTTGTGTAACGGTTCGTAAAACGTCTTTCTGTGCGAGTCGCAATTTTTCGTATTTTAAATATCGTTCAGTACATCTTCCCACTATGTATACTTAATTTTCTAATAAAAATCATCGTAATTAAGAAAATGGTGATAATGATAATTTTATTTTGTATTATATGTATGGTCTTTCCGAAGTCAGTTGAACATGTAAAAAACGCCTGGCAATAAAATTTAATGACTTTCGTAGGCGTACCTAAAAAAGTTTTCTGCTAAAGGTGAAAAATTATAATAATTTGTATATAATGTGTAGAAAATTCCTATTATATGTTAATATTTTATTATGTTGATGGTAAATTTCATTTTGTTCCATTTCAAGGTCTCCAAAATGCCATGTTGTAATAATATTAGTAAACAAAATATCCCTCTTATTTCTCCCTTTGCAATTGTAATATGAATGATTAATAGAAGGTGTATATAATAAATTAAAATTACCTGAATCACACCAAATTCCGCATTGCTGCACTGCACTGCTGGGCAATTTCTCAACCACTTGTCAACAGCTGAGATTTATTGCCCACTGTGTTTGTTTTCCTTTGCCCGAGCTCGCATTCTTCAACTGGGCATATACATTTCTACCACCTCCACGTTTAGTTCGACTAGACCTGTATATGGGTATGGCTAAATAAATATGAGAACAGTTTTTTAAATATTCCAATGCCGAGTTGCTGCCTCAGCGACCGAACTTGGTACATACTGTCAACCTCTTGGTTCAATTGATATCAGAAAGACTATACATGATGTTGAATTATTGTAGTTTTGAGGAATTTTACACTTTATAAAACGGAAGGAAGTCTAGTTTCTCGCAGATAATAAATACATTCGTAACTTTTTTATTTTTAACTTGATAAAAAAATTCCTTCAAAATAATTCATTGCTAGATAAAATAATGTATTATTTAATTAGATGATTCCTTGATGGAAGATACATTTTTGTTGTTTTTAATGTTTTATTGTGGTAAATAAGTGAATATCTCCTTATAAATGAAAAGTGATTTGCCATTAAAAAAAATACGTCGAACAAAAAGTAAAAGAATGTATGGGTATATGGTTTAAAAGAAAACTGTACTGAAGCAAAATATATGACATTTGAAATTGAAGTACCCACAACTTTTTTAGGAATTTCATTTTTTAAATTAGAAAATAAAAAAAATTGGGGTGTGAATTTTCCTGAAAAACTACATACAAGGTCATCACGCGAATATGTTACAATCTGCTGTAATTTCATTGTCTTCAAAGAAATCGGAAAAGTAAACTGTGATTTTTTCACTAGTTTTTCGCGAATAATTCATGTATTTTATCAAAAAAAAGTAGCTGGAAGTCGGATGTCATTTTTGATATATTCCTATCTCTAATAATAAGGGGGTATTAATAATAATGTACATGAATGTAGTTTATTAGAAAAAGACTATTTTTAGT